TCTAGTCGGTTCTGAGTCACTGATACTGACTCCCGTGCTGTAGTTGGTCGGGGACCATCCTGCTGGGCATGCCGCCCCCCAGATCTCCATTTGAACAGTGGCTCTGGATCTCCCCCCTGCATCCTAGAAGCAGAGTGACACTAACACAGTCCCCTTGGCTCTGGGATGTCCTACTTGCCGGAGAATGGACGCCCTCCTCTGCTGCCATCCCGCGCTCAGCCGTGTGTCCTCAGGCCTCCCGAGAGCTGTCCTCTGGAAAGGGCATTTTTGCGTGATGAAGACGAATTATGAATTCTGACTTCCCCACCTGTTTCTCAACTACATGAGATTAGTTGTTTCACATTTAAGTTCTTCATTTCAAAACGAGGAATTAGGAGAACTTCCCCTGGATAAGATGGGGCTGGGGGTCAAGAGGCTCCATGCCCTCAGCCCTTCAGTCTCAGGACTCTGTCCTGTGAAGGCGAAGCTTTTAGAACCCTCCGTGGTGCCAGACAGTGCGCTGAGCACACAGCCCCAGGTCCGCCAGCACCACTTTACTGTTAAAAGTTGAGAACTCAAAAAGAAAAAAAGGGCTGGGGACATGACACAGCACCTGCCTGGCAAGCACGAGGTCCCCAGTTCAATTCCCAGTCCCCGTGTGGAAAAAAAAATACACACACACATACACACACATGAAGGAAACAAGAGTTGAAAACTCCAGAGAGCTTTTGTTTATAATCTGTTGTAGTTATTAATACTTGACACATTTGAAATTATAATGGAAAAATGATTATTCATTTTTGAAATAACCATTACTACTGTTAGCATAGGGCTTTTTTATGAGAAATATTTTCCAAAATAAAAAAATATCAGGGCTGGCCAAATAGCTCAGCAGATTCAAGTGCCTGCTTAGGCAGCCGCAGGGGTTTTGATGCCGGCCCCACCCCCGGGGCACACTGAGAGGGAAGTTGAGGCTGGGCGTGGCGGCACACACCTGTAATCCCAACACTTGGGAGGCTGTAAATAGGCAGATCACTACAAGTCCTATCTATGCAGTGAGACTCTGTAGACCCTGTAGGCCCTGCCATAAAACAAAAAAATTAAAAATAAAAAACAAAATAAAAAAGATCAGCCAAAATAGTGATGTTGTTTCATAGTTTTGCAAAACCTGTTTTCTGGATTTATAGGAGACAAGTAGATTCTCAGGCTTCTGAACTCAGCCTGGGTGTCTCGACTGAAGTGGGTGCCTGCGGCCCGCCTTTCTTGGGTCAGTGGTTGGAGAAGGAAGAGTTTGTCCGTAAGCTCTTCAGCTCAGTCCCGGCATTCTTTGATTCAGCATTAAAACTCATCCATGAGGTGATTCTGTTCTGGGCAGTAGTTTTGTTGTAGGCAGCCGAGTTAGACAGAAATATTATAGGCAGTCAGACA